AGCCCCAAGGGCAGGGCTGTCTCTGCCCACTGAGGAGCTTCAGGCCATGGAGCTGCACTGGGAGGTTCAGCTCTGCTCGGGATGGGCTCCCATGGAAGCCTGGTGAGATTTGGGGTTGGCAGAGCCCCAAATCTCTGTGTGCCCCTGCTCTCCCATTAACCCTCCACTGAGGTCAGCTGGCCAGATGGGATGTTTGCCAAAAATCAGTATCTCCAGCAGCTGGAGAGAGCCTCTGGTGGCACGCAGGCAGCTGCAGTGCAGATTTGGGGCGGTGGGGTCTGGTTTAGGGGGGCACTGGGAGCCCTGGCCCCTTCCCAGCCCAGGAGCAGTGGGACCAGCCCCGCTGGCGGCTCCTCCTGCTCCTGTCAGCTCAGACAGTGCAGCTCTCTGATGGCTGATTGTGATGGCAGCAAAGAGCCCACCGGAGAGTTCCTGCACTTGCTTTACACCCCAGCGTTTGCTCTGCTCTCAGATGTGATGAGACACCTGCTTTAATACCCATCACAGTCTACTCTGGATGTTTCATCTGCTGGGAAGCAGAAGGGGGCTGTTTCCTTGAGCAGGAACAGGCACAGCTCAGCTATTGATCTGTGCCTCCAACCCACAGACAAAAAATCCACTTAGGATTCTGCTCTAGAAATTATCATTAAATCTCTGTGAAATGCTTATTGCACAACTTGAAACCAGGACACAGTGCCCTGGTCTCCAGCACCTATAAATCCTGGAACTGGTTCTAGCTTTATTGAAAACTTGATGCATCTGCTTCTAACTTTGAACAAGCTTTATCTCTGGTTTCCATTAAAACTGAGTTTTGTTTGCAGCATGAAGCTGAGCTGCTGCAGTAAGAGATGAGAAAGCTGCAACCAAAAGTTGACATCTGAAGATTTCTCATACCATTCCATGTTTTCCACAATACACAGATTGCATACATTTATATTGAACATACTTTTTAATTTTTAAACCAGATTGTTTAGAAGAAAACGAAACTCCTAATGGTCTTACAACCCAGAAAATATGATAGAGTTGGAAAATATATATCTATGAATTCAAGTATATCTGCTTGGACTGAAAGAAGGAAAATGAGACTATAGGGCCATGAAGATGATGGGATGGAGGCAAAGCTGAGACAATTGAGATTGTTCAGAAAAGAAGGCTCTAGGTAGAGCTCAGAGCCCCTACCAGGCCTAAAGGGGCTTCAGGAGAGCTGGAGAGGGACTGGGGGCAAGGGAGGGAGGGACAGGACACAGGGAATGGCTTCCTACAGGGGAATGTCTTCCCTCTGGATCCCCCAGAGGGCAGGGATGGATGGGAAGGAATTTTGGGAAGGAATTGTTTCCTGGGAGGGTGGGGAGGCCTTGGCTGTGGCTGCCCCTGGATCCCTGGCAGTGCCCAAGGCCAGGATGGACAGGGCTCGGAGCCCCCTGGGACAGTGGGAGGTGTCAATGTTTAATGTCCCTTCCAACCCAAGCCAGTCTGGAGTTCTGTGTTCTTTTGGCATGAAGTTGATTTAAATGAAACCCCCAAATACCACTTCTCTATATCTGCATTGTTTAAACCCAAAATGTGTAGTTATATATTCTTTAAGGAAAGGATTAACAGCCTTTACTGGGGCCATACATTCTATGGTTAATTCTGCAAGAAATTCAAAGAGTCTGGAATCTCTCTTGACTTCTTGTGCTCCCCAGCTTCAGGGCTGCATGAGTGACTGAAGAGCAGTAATGTCACAGTGGGTGTGGTACCCAGATCCTGGTCTGTTTGCAGCCAGGAGCTGCACTTGGTGATCCTTCTGGCTTCCTTCCAATTCAGGATATTCCAAATTCTGATTCTAGTTGATGGATGAGAGCTTATGGTTAATTATTCCCTATGCCCAAGACATCCCACAGGCTCAGATTAGCCAGAATTCTGCAATTGAACAGGTAATTTTTTCAGGGATAACAGAGGTGTGAGTCTGGGGATCGCTGTGCCCCTCTGCAGGGTGGCACTGGGATATGCCAAGCGCAGAGAGTGCACGTTGTGTTCAAGTGGTGAGTGGCTGCATCCACGTGCTCTTAATAAAAACAAGGTTTATTGTTTCCACACCTCTTCTGTCATCTTTTCACAGTCACAGAGGCAATAATTAGCTAGGGACATTAGAGATGCATTAATTAACCAGGCTGGAGAGCACAGGGCAGCCTGCAAAGCAGGCACTTAATGGAATTTGAAGCAGAGACAATGGTGTTGTTTACTGGGTGATGTGGGAGTTGCCAAGCAGTGTGTCCCCACGCAATTAAACACCACTGCACATGTGCTAAAAAGGAATATTTGAATGGGATTATGGAGCAATTACAAGTTGTCTTATTGTGCTGGCTCAGTGTCCCCCTGGGGTTACAGAAAGCAGCTCCTGCAGGAAGCTGGCAGCAGCAGTGTTTGCTTGCTGAAAGCTTTCCATTGTTCCTGCTCTAATTGAATACTTGGAGTGGGACTGGGATGGTGTCCCAGGAGCTCAGGTTCACTCAGGTGCTCCCCCTGGGAAGGAGCTGTTTCAGGCCTGGATTATAAAGCAGGAATTCCCCTAGAGAGCCCCAGGCCCTCACATTTCACAAGGACACCCCATCTTTGCCCTGAAGACTCCTTCATGGTACCTTGATGCAGCACTTGGAAAACCAGGATAAGAGTCAGCTGGCTCATCCAGGACTGATCCTGGAGCCTGCAGGGTCTCCTCTTCTGCTCTCCCTGCTGGCTCTGGAGGAGGCACTTGGAGGCCTTCGGGATTTCTGTGCCAAACCAGCTCTGTGCAAAGGGAAAAGGACCTGTTTATCTTAGCCAGCTGCTGGTTTCCAACCTCCTGGCATGAGGCAGCACCAGGAAATGGGATTAGCCCTGCAGCCCTGACCCCCCAGACAGCAGGAATAAAAGTGTGGGATCAGTGCCTGTAACACAGCTCCCCTGGCAAAACCTGTAGCAGGACTGGGAGAGCAGCAGCACTCCTGGGGCTTGCAGGGAGTGAGGAGCTGGCCCGGGCAGGAGGGCTGAACTTCCTTCCCCCAGGGCTGGTGATGCTGCACATTGCAGAGCCACCAAAGTCAGGAGTGCCTCGCCTGCTCTTCAGCTCTAAAGCGAAAGCTGAGTTTCCTGAAAAGATGCTGAACTTCCAGAGCCTCTCCTGAAGGCAGCAGCACTTGGGGTGATTTGAATTCCCTGGATGTGTTTCTCATGGCAGCCTCTGCACTTGCCAGCTCCTTCCAGCCCAGGAAGCAGGCACGCTGAACACTGTGACTAACGCTGTACTTGTTGTTCCTGCCCAGAAGCAAACACTCCTGCAGATCTTCTTGAGGGGAGAGATTGGGTTTTCAGCCTGTGCCACGGAACTGCAGATGCCTCAGCACTGCATGTGTCACTGTCTCTTCCCCTTTCAAGGAAGAAAATACTCCTGGCCTGGTAGCTTTAAACCGTGGAAAGCACTAAGAGACTTTCAGCTTTGCAGAGAACTTGCCTGTGTGGGTGTCTTTAAATGGTCTGCAGCAATTATAAGAACAAAATAGTCCTCTTTTCACAAAGGTGGGTTTTTTTTTAAAGGAAAGGGGTTTTCTGAGTGCTCTGAGAGTTCAGTCACTTAGGAGTCACAGAGTGAGAATATGTGATATGCTCTTCCCTGAAGCATCTGACACTGCAATTTTTTGACCCCTATGCATTACTTTAGATTTCTGTCCCTGTGCTCTGGGTTGCAGGAATTAGACTTGAAAGTATTGGCCAGAAACTGGATAAAGTGCATGTTTTGAATCTATTCCAGTCAGGCCAATCCTTACCCTCTATGAGAAACAGTGGGAGGACTTTGTGAGGTTAGGTTAGCTGTTCACTGGAAATTAATTCCAAAATCAAAACATAATTAGCAAAAAAAAAAAAAAAATGTTTGGAAGACAGCCTTGACCCTGGGAGGTGATTCCAAGAGGATTTGCTGACAGGTGTGGTTATTCCTGCTCTGCAAGGCTTCTCTTTAAACTTTTACAAAGTAAAGAAATGCTGATCCATGGGGCTGAGAAGCAGCTTGGCAAGTACCAGCTCCTGTGAGCCACTGTTCATTCACAGCACAAGGCAGCAGTACAAGGGCTTTAGCCCTCCTGGGGGAGTCAAAAGCCAGCTGGGACGGGAACCCTTCACCTTTGGGCTGAGCATCCAGGTCTGTGCAGCTGTGGCACTAATGCAGGGGGAATTGTGGCACTAATGCAGGGGAAATTATGGCACTAATGCAGGGGAATTATGGCACTGCTGCAGGGGAATTGTGTCAGTGCTGCAGGGGAATTGTTGCACTAATGCAGGGGAGATTATGGTACTAATGCAGAGGAGTTGTGGCACTAATGCAGGGGAGTTGTGGCACTAATGCAGAGGAGTTGTGGCACTGCTGCAGGGGAGTTGTGGCACTGCTGCAGAGGAGTTGTGGCACTAATGCAGGGGAGTTGTGGCACTAATGCAGAGGAGTTGTGGCACTGCTGCAGAGGAGTTGNTGCAGGGGAGTTGTGGCACTAATGCAGAGGAGTTGTGGCACTGCTGCAGAGGAGTTGTGGCACTAATGCAGGGGAGTTGTGGCACTAATGCAGAGACGTGGGGAGGGGCAGCCCCAGAGGAGGGCAGGGCAGGGGCTCCCTGTGCTCTGGGCTCTGTGGGCCGGGGCTGGGGCAGCACTTGCAGGGCTGGGGGTTGTTCCAGCAGGATCCACCAGGACCTGTCCGTGTCAGGCACGGAAACAGCAGCTCAGCGGAGCAGGGGGAGGCAGAGAGAATCTGCTTAGAGCCTGCAAACCCCTCAGCACGGGCTGGAAGATGCCGAGGCGAATGCATCCCTTTTCCTCTGGGTGCTCAGCTTGTTCACAATAGAGGCTTTTGTGAGGCTTATTAAGCCAAGACTTTTCCGTGTCCCAGAGCAATCAGGTACGGAAGCGGCACAGAAGTGCCTTTAAGTGCCAGGCGTGGTTGGGTGAGCACTTGAGGAAGCTTTGCCTCTAATATCCCTCTCTTTCCACCCAGGGATGACTTGCCAGGCTCGCAGCTCCTACATGGACACCGAGGTGCTGTGGGGACACCGCTTCACCCCCGTGCTCACCCTGGAGAAGGATTTTTACGAGGTGGACTATAACAGCTTCCACAGCACCTATGAGACCCACACGCCCGTGTGCTGTGCCAAGGAGCTGGCCCAGTCCCGCCGGGAAGGGCAGCTCCTCGGGCCCCTGCCCGGCCTGGGCCGGGACACAGGGACAGCCAGGGAGGAGGAGGAGGAGGAGGAGGAAGGCAGGGAGCCGGCAGGACTGAGCGGAGCCAACGGGACAGCGGGAGAGGGGAAGGAAGAGGTGCCTGTATAAGCTGGAGCTGCTGGAGCACAGCCACCCGCTGGGACACGGGGCTGGCCAGCAGGACCCGCTGGCAGCCAGAGCTGGGGCTCACCCTGGGCGTCCCCGCACTGCCCGGGCCTTGCTTCCCCTCCCTCCTCTTGAGGCTCTGGCTTTGCCTCCTCTGCAAAGCATCTTGGTCTCCATGGACAAGGCCCGCTCTTCTCATCACTGTCCAAACCGAAATCCCCACCGCCGGTTGTTTCGCTGGGCGTGCAGAACTCTGCCCCTCTTGCCGGGGTGTTGAGCCAGTCCAGAATGTCCCATCTCAGTATGAAGAATGTGATTTCATACCTTCACTTAATTTGTGAGTCAATGTATTGTAGACATTGTTCCGGCTAAATTAAAAGAAAAGGTAAAAACCTCCCCGCTATGTAGTGAAGTGTTTTGCCTTCATGAATTTTACAAACAAATGTGTTTGCTTCCAGGATCACAGCCATTGGGATTTATTTCCTACAAAATGTCTGATATGAGCAGGGCACCTTTTCCTGCAAACCTTTAACATGTTTATCCAATGATATGTCTTCTCCAGCTGAAGTGTTTAATGTAGTCTTCTCATGGAATCTCTGACACATTTCTTAGGCTACCCATGGTCAGAGAAAGTTTAGATTTTGCCCCAGTGAAGGCTTTTTTCTGGCCTGAATGTCCCAGTTGTAGTTCCAATTGATAATTTAAAACAAAGAACATAGTCCCCTGGGGGTTGGAATGTTCTGGAATTTCAGAGGCTCTGGAGTAGGGAGACTGGGTAAGTGGATGTTTGCAAAATTCGCTGCTTTTCTGCAAAGCACATATTTAAAACAAAGGTTGAAGTGCTGATGTTCCTGCAGCTAATTGGAACTCACTGACATAACTGAAGCCAACAATTTTGATCTTTAGAAAGAAGCAGAAAACCAGATTTCCCAAAGAGGATTGTCTCATCCAGAAAAGAAATGAAGAAAAGCAGTCTGTGAGATAAAAGATTTCCACAAATTTCAACAACACGGGAAAAAAATGGCCTTTTTGGGGAAAATCTCTTCCCTTGCTCCTAAAACTTTGGTGGAAAAAGCAGACTACCTGCAGAATTACTTTTTCAATAAAATAAAATGAGAAATACATAATATGCAAGAGTAATCTTCCATAGAAAAAAGGACTGTATCTTTATCTGGGAAATAAATGTACATTGTCTGGACTGAACTGCACACTTAGGACCCGAAATACAGTTTTGCCTCTTGATTTTAATACAAAGAAAATATAAACTGGAAATAGAAAGCAGTGGTCTTATTGACATGGAAACAAGAAAGAGAATACAATCTGTAGGGGTTGTAGATACCATTTACTTAGAGATGTAATCTTATAATTTAGGGAAAAGAGAAATTTATGGGGGGTTTTCTGAGGGGGTGGAAAAATTACCACGACATGGCTGTGTTGTACTTAAACCATGTTAGGAGGCAGCAGCCAGCTCAGCCTGCAGGGTACAGGAATTATCTCTCAGTTACACTGCACATTTCAAGGTAAGGAACTCCACTGGAAATGCTCATCAATTCTAGAAAGCATCTTACAGCCTCAGAGTGGGCAGAATTTTTCTAGAGGTCTCATTTTCGTTTTTCTGCTCAGGTTCCTCTTTTTCTATCCTGAGCCTCAGAGGAACAGAGAGAAGAAAACAGAGAGAAAAATGAGATCCTTAGAATGTTCATTTTCTGAGACCTTCTCACCCAACCTCTGCAAGATAATTACGTGTCAAAAATCAAAACTGGGTTTCAGATTTTCTTCCTCTGTAGCTGAAGTTATCTCCTACTGCAGGAGATGGAAGTGAAAAGCAAAACTGCAATGGGTCTGTGCAAGTCAGAGGCAGTTTGAGCCCTCAGAGGGATGTTACATAAACCCTGGCCAGCGAGTGCCTTGTCCAGCTCAGCTGAACATGAGAGAGGTTTGATGGGTCCCTCCTGTGAGGCCGGAGACAGAGCCTGGAAAATGGCACTGGACTCCCTCTGCACCTTTCTCCTTCCTGGCTCTTTCCTCCCAGGGAGAAAATAGCCACCTGCAAATACCCAAAAGCTCTTTAGTCTGCCCTTGAGATCTCATCCCACAAAACTGCTCCTTCCTAAGCCTGTGGAGTCTGGGAATTCATGTATCCTCATGTAAGGAATCTGGGTTGTTACTGGCTGGATGTCTGCTGAAGGGTGGGTGGTGCAAATCCCTCACACGGTGTGAGGGGTAGCACAAGACTTGTTTTGTGTTTGGAATCTGCAAATGTGCCCCAGTGACTTCCTGAACGGAGGTTTCAAACTGTGCCTGCATGAGCTGAGCCCGGGAATTTCCCTGTTTCTGGAGGATGGAGAAACCCCCTCCTGCATTCCTCATTGAGCTGAGCAGATCCGGAGCAGAGGATCCCCAGGCCTGGGGGCACCCTATGTTTCCTGTATTTTCAAAACATATTTTCAAGTTGTGCAGCCTGGCCACCACTTCTGGGGGTTTGGGAACCCCTTCCAAAGCCTATCAGGCAGGCCCCAGGGTTGTTCTTTTCCTGAAAGAGTTTTAATTTAGTGAGTGTATTGAACTTTCCTAAAAGTGAGGGAGAGCACCTCTTCCAGAACTGTCATCTCTGACAATTGGATCCATTTCCCTGCTGTTCACCAGCATGTGCAGGACAGACAATAAACCATGGGAATAAAAGCATAAAAGATGCACTCTTTGCTGTAATGAACATTTAAATACAAAGCTGCGTCTCTTATGAGAGTTGAAATAACTCACAGAGATACATCCACCCACGTAAATACCCCATATAAAATCTACACTCATCAGTGTAATTTTACAAATGTTAACTAATACTCCACAAGAAACATTTATAACCTGTAAGCATGCTATTCACCCATGAATAACCATTTCTATAATGGACCCAGTAAACAAGCTAAAAATACATATTCAAAACATGGAAAACATCTGCTTTATGAATGTATCACTGATAAGGCAAAGTCACGACAGAATCCATCCACAACTCATGTAGGAGCCACTTATGCATAACAGGGGCACTCAGAAGCTGCCAGTGTTGTGTGTGCAAACATTTCCACTTGAACCCTGCATTTTAACACAGCACCTGAGGGCTGGCTTATTAAACATGAGCCCAGGTGCCTCTCTACACACATTGTGTCCCCAGCAGGCAAAGCTGCACCTTCAGAGGCTTTCCCAACAGCACAGAGGCAGATCCCACATGGCACAGCACAATCACCCTGAGCAGTGCAGAGCAGGAGCTGGATGCCAGGGCGTGCTCCTGCCCTGCAGTCACCCCTGAGATCTTTGGAGCAGCCAAAAGCTGGTTCCTGTGCTTCCATCTCCTGCCTGTGCAGGGAGGCTGGGCAGCACCTCTCCAGGAGGAGAGCTGAGGGGGCAGTGGAGCAGGCAGGGGAGCACAGCAGAGCTCTGTGCTCAGCTGGGCTCTGTGGGAGCCTTTGGGAATGCTCTGGGAGGGAGCCCTGCACACCCCGTGCTTTTATTCCATCAGCTGCTTTCCCAGACCCGGCCTTCGAGCTGTTCTGGCCGTGGGCAGTGCCACTGGTGCTCATGGAGGGCCCAGCTGGCCTTGGGTGTGTGCCTCGGGTGCTTCTTTCTCCTGCATGAATTCCCATATTTATCCATATTAAGCATTTTCATTTTGACTGGAGTTAATTTCTTAGACTGATCTGAAGATAGAATGGAAAAATCCAGCCTTTGCTTTGGCAGATGATTCTGGGCAGGGGTTAATCAACATCCCTCTTAGAAATGTACCTTTATTTTTCATTTTAATTATCCTGGCTTTAATTTTCACTCATTGCAGACTCATCACTCATTTTAGGCTTAAATTTACCGCCTCATTGTTTTCCCTCTCTTGTTACTATGAATATATTTCCATCAGAAAGGGTGGATCATGGACCTGAGAGAAGAGGGAATGTTATTTATGCTCAAGTAATTAATACCCAGTGATAAGCTCTGTTTGCTGCCAGCCATATCTCCTGCAATATATGAGGGGCAGGTTGCCAGGATGTGTTAAACAGCAGTGTGGTGGAGGAAAGAGAAGATGCTTAATTAAGGTCCAGGGAAACCAGGCAAGCTTTCAGAAGTGGTTCCATTCAGAGGCCAGGGAAGTGGTGATGAACTCCTGAGAGTCTGCTTGGAGTGACTCCAGTCAGGGCTTCATTTCCAGAGGTGTCTGGACTCTGGTGGCTGTGACGAGTGGCAGAATACAGATGCTGGCATTTTATTCCAAGAGGAAGTCAGGGCTGAATTCTGATTTCATTTTGGGTGATCATTCTCTTTCAGGGAAATGGGGAGCCCAGTGAGTCCCTCAGCTTTGCCAACAACTATCAAACCAGAACTTGGTTCTTAAGTCCTGCCTTAGGAAGTGGAGGGGAAAGATGCACTTTCAGACGCTGTTGTGCATAAGAAAATGCATACAGGGGTGTCTGTGCTAAACAGCTGGTGCTGGAGGATAATTTCTGCTGAAAAGTAAAATCTAATTCTGCAGCTTTGCTGAAGGAAGTTTATTATTCTCCTTGCAGGACTGAGCTGTCCTGCTTAGATGGAACCAGGTAATACAAACATGCAACTGCTTTTCCAAGAAGGTGAAATCTGAAGTTCCACTAAAATCTGTGCTTCATGTGTTGGGATGAATGCAATTCCAGAGATGCAGTTTAGCAAGCACTGAAGGTGTGGGCAAATACTGACTCTGGTTCAGTTGGGTGGTCTAAAAGAATTAATGAAAAAAAGCCAGCCTGGTTTCATTAACTCCAGTAAAACCAGGAATAACTCCTCAAAATCAGAGCTGTATTTGGCTGGATTAGTGATATCAGAATGAGGACATGAAGTGGTTGTAAAGCTGTGCTTTAACACACGAGTATTTGCATCATGGTGCATCTCTGAGTAGGACAGAGGAGGAAATCAGGGATCTTTCTGTACCTGGGAATAGAAACGAGCTGATCAGTTCAGCACAGTGGGATTTGCTGCTCTCTGGGCATCTCTCAAATCCCAAAAGGACAGGATGGCCTCCTGATGCACAGAGGGGCAGGTGTTGCACTGCACAGCAAAGAGCTGAGCCTTTCATTTACCAAATCCTGTAAATAACAGAGGCGAGGAGGAGGAGAGGAGGCCTGGAGCCATCAGACAGGGCTGGTTTGTCCCAGGGGGGCCAAGGGCTCCTGCTCTGTCCCAAGCAGCAAAGGGGGGCAGCGAGGGGGTTCCAGCTCAGGGAGCTCCATCCTTACCCAGTTTGTGTCAGATTTAACTGAGTCTCGTTTCCTACCAAATAGGGCAAGTTATTTAAGGAAGGGTGATTCAAAATTGAAACAACTGTATCCTTTCAAGCCTCATCTTGTAATTGAAATATTCATAAAGCTCTTCATTCAGCATAAGACCATTGCAGAA